TTCGTAGATGTATCCAAACCAAATCTCCTACCTTAAAAGTCTGCTATCTTCGATGCTTGTCACGTTGAGCTTTGTATCTCAAATTCTGCTTTTGGATTCGCTCGCGGACTTGCTCATGCAACTTCTCAATTTCCTTAGCCCTTTGGTCAGCATCAAAGCTGTATTGTTGCTTATCAATTGAAGGGCTCAAGTCTAGTGGACTAAGGGGACGAGTGCCATAAACAACTTCAAACGGACACTTCCTAGTTGCTTGATTGACAGAGTTATTATAAGCAAACTCAACTTGAGCAAGAATAAGATCCCACTGCTTCAAATTCTTCCCCACGAAACTGCGAAGAAGATTACCAAGTATTCTATTTATAGCTTCAGTTTGACCATCTGTCTGGGGATGACTAGCGCTGCTAAATTGGAGCTTAGTTCCCATCTTCTTCCATAGCGTCCGCTAAAAGTGGCTAAGAAACTTCACATCACGGTCAAAAGTGATAGTTTTAGGAACGCCATGAAGACGCACAATCTCCTTAAAGTACAAGTCTGCTACTTGAACAGCATCATTTGTCTTCTGGCATGGGATAAAATGGGCCATTTTTGAGAAACGATCCACAACTACCATGATAGAATCTTTTTGCCTTTGAGTCCGTGGTAAACCTAGAACAAAATCCATGGTTACATCTTCCCACGGTGCTTCTGGAATTGGCAGAGGCATGTATAATCCGGTATTCTGACCCTTGGATTTAGCCAAGTGACAAATTCTGCATCTTTGTATATGCCTGTTGACATCCCGTTCAAGACGAGGCCAGTAAAAGTTCTCCTTCACCAGATCAACTGTTTTATCCCTTCCAAAATGTCCAGCTAATCCACCGTGATGTGCTTCCCAAATTATGGCTTCTCTTAAGGAACCCTGTGGAATACAGAGGGTTTTACCTCGAAATAAAAAACCATCATGCTTGTAAAACTGGTGGAAAGGTTGATTTACGGTTGCTTTCCACACTCCTTGGAAATCAGGATCATCCTGATACAACTCTTTGATAAGGTCAAATCCAACAACCTTGGTTTGCAATGTTGTAAGTAGCACATGGCGACGACTAAGGGCATCAGCTATAGAGTTCAGAGTTCCAGCCTTATGTTTGATAAGGAATGGATAAGATTGTAAGAGTTCACTCCAACGAGCATGTCTGCGGCTGATCTTCTGCTGGGAATTCAAATACTTGAGAGCCTCATGATCCGAAAAAAGTATGAACTCTTTATTTAGGAGATAATGACTCCAATATTGAAGAGCTCGGACAATGGCATAAAATTCCTTGTCATAGGTAGAATATCTGAGCTTGGCATCATTGAGCTTCTCACTAAAAAAGGCAATGGGATGGCCCTCCTGGCTTAAGACAGCACCAATGCCGGTGTTAGAAGCATTACAGCTAACTTCAAATACTTGGTCAAAATTAGGAAGAGCTAGGACTGGAGCTTCGGTTAACTTCTTCTTAAGCTCCTCAAAGCTTTTCTGAGCTTGCTCTGTCCACTGAAACTTCTCTCCTTTGGTGCAGTCTGTAAGTGGTGCGGCAATTGAGCTAAAACTACGGATGAACCTCCTGTAGAAAGAAGCTAATCCGTGGAAGCTTCGAACCTCCTGGATAGATTTTGGAATTGGCTAGCTGTCAATGGCTGCAACTTTGATTGGATCAACGCGAACACCTTCCGCGGTAATGATGTATCCCAAGAACACAACTTCGTTGGTGAGGAAGGTGCACTTCTTGAGATTTGCATACAGCTTCTGCTCACGCAAGGCTTGCAAAACTTTTCGCAAGTGATCTAAATGTTCCTCTTGATTCTTACTGTAAATAAGAATATCGTCAAAGTACACAACAACAAATTTACCAATGAAAGGTCTCAATACCTGATTCATCAGGCGCATAAATGTGCTAGGGGTATTTGTTAATCCAAAAGGCATCACATTCCACTCATACAAGCCATCTCTGGTCTTGAAAGCGGTCTTCCACTCATCTCCTGGCCGAATTCTGATTTGATGGTACCCACTACGAAGGTCAATTTTGGAGAAAGTAGTGGCAACATGTAATTGGTCCAGCATATCATCAAGCCGAGGTATCGAAAACCGATACTTAATAGTGATCTTGTTGACGGCTCGACAGTCAATGCACATTCTCCAACTTCCATCCTTCTTAGGTACTAGAAGAACAGGTACAGCACAAGGGCTGATACTTTCTCTAACTAATCCTTTCTTCAACAACTCTTCAACTTGCTGTTGGACTTCGGCATGTTCTTGGGGACTCATCCTATAAGCAGGCTTATTAGGAATGACTGCTCCTGGAACGAAGTCAATGGCATGCTGTATGTCTCGCATTGGAGGCAACCCTGGTGGTATCTCATCGGATATTACATCTGAAAATTCTGACAATAACGGAATGACTCCAGGTGGATTGGCCGTCTCATCGTTCACCTCAAGCACCAGAATAATGCTCATCATTTGGGCTTTGGATTTTGACACCTTGAATTCCTCCTTATTCAACAAAGACACTAACGAATTAGAAACACTAGATTCCCTTGAAGATTGGCTAATCTCATTAGGTGGTAGAGGCGCTAGTGTAAACTTGACACCATCTTTCGTAAAAGAATAAGTGTTCGCTCGCCCGTTATGCATAGCATATCGGTCATATTGCCATGGCCTCCCCAAGAGAAGGTGGCATGCATCCATGGGAACAACATCACATAAAACTTCATCACAATATCGATTCCCAATAGAAAAGGTCACAAGGCATTGTTTAGAAACTTTTACCTCATTCCCTTTGTTGAGCCAGTGAAGCTTGTAAGGTTGTGGATGATCTTGTGTTGGCAACTTCAATTTCTCCACCATGTAGTTAGATACTACATTTTCATAGCTTTCACTGTCAATGATGACATTATAAACTTTTCCTTGGGCCGTGCAACGAGTGTGAAAATGTTGCGTCATAACCAAGGTTCTTCTTTGACTACTGTTGTATGCAGACTTCATCTAAGCACCAATGCTTCTCCTTGATCAGCAAGTGTGACCTCCTCGTCATATACGGGATCAGTGCCGTAGAACTCATCGTCCTCCTCATCTTCTTCAAGTGCTTCATACCCTGATCCTTCTCGAATGGTGACAACCCTTCGTGTAGGACAGTCCACAGCAATGTGGCCAAATCCTTGGCATTTAAAGCATTTAATTGCTTTAGAACCAGATTCCTTAGCAGCATTGGATGGTGGTTTGCACATAGCAGTAGGTTGTGGCTTGCTTGAGGAGTTGGTCTACTGAAATTCTGCTTTACGGCCTTCTGGATAACTCCTAGAGGATGAAGGTTGGAAAGTGGATCTCTTGGGCATCTGCTTCTCAACACGCACGGCCAGACGGATGACATCATCCAAGGTCCAATATTGTTGAAGCTGGACTGGACGACTGATATCTGTGTTTAAGCCTGCAAGGTACCGGGCTATTATTTGCTCCTCTTTCTCCTGAATATCACACTTTATCATGAGTTGTTCAAACTCTCTAGTATATTCTTCTACAGATAAAAATATCCTGGTGGTAATGATCTGGTAAAAATTTCCTGGTGAGCTGGCGTTTCATTTTCTCCCAGGTTTCAATCTTGCGCTTTCCCTCACGTTCTCGCTTTCGTCTGAGGTTTTCCCACCAAATAGAAGCATGTTTCTTGAGTTTAAGGGCGACAATTTTGACTTTCTGTGCATCTGGAATCTCTTTGTATTCAAATACTCATTCAACAGTTTGCAGCCAATCTACAAACTCGTCTGGCTGGAGCCTTCCCTCGAATTCAGGGATGTCAACCTTGATGTCATTAGGGCGGAATTGTTGTTGTCGTGGGCGGCGGCAGTTTTCAGTAGATGATGAACTACTGCTTCCCGAATCTCTCTCTAAGTTTTCTCTATTGTTGTTTAACAGAGTTTGCTGCAATTCCACAGTGGCTTCCAATTCTCGTATCCTACGTCTCAACTCTTCCATCTCAACCTCGTGCACATGTCTACGTCTTGGAGGCATTTTGGATAAGTGTCAAAGCTATGGATAAAGATTGGGATGCGATTGAAAACGTTGAAGGATATAGGGGTAAAGTGAGATTTTTTTCAAAAGGCTAGGGGCAAAATGGGGATTTTGGACTGTCTAGGGGGTAAAATAGCAATTCTAGAAGAATGATGGGTCAATATGAAATTTCATAAAAAATAGGGGTAAATTTGGAATTACTGAAAGATTTGGGGCCAAAATGTAATTTCTGAAAGTTGGTTGACTGGGCGCAGTGACGTGGCGACTGTGACACGCGGCAGAAAACTATTGGGCTGACCTGTCGTTGACCGGTCAGAACGATGACGTGGCAGCTGACGTCAGCGTCTTCAACCTTCGGATGGCGCGTGACGGCGCGTGGACCGGCGGCGAGACGCGTGGTCTTCCGACGATGGCGCGTGGCGGCGCGTGCGGCTGTTTCCGATGACAGGGAACCTCTTGTTCCACGTTTTCGGACCTCCTGAGCACGATGGTGATGTTAGTTTTCTGAGAAAATGCCTGGTTTGTAAAACGCGAAGACATCAGGGACTCCTCCTCTGAATCTCTCTTCTTTCCAGCGTACTTTCTCAACTGTAACTCACTCTCTCGCTCTCTGGACCAGCTCTGATATCAAAATGACACAGAAACCGAATGAACAACAAGCAATTCTTATTCTCTGAAGTCTGTCCTTTCACAAGTCTCAAGGTCCTATTTATAGTCCTAGAATACGTGAAACTGAACCATACAAATTTAAAGGGGAGTTACAGAATTTAAAGGGCGGTTACAAAGAGTTTATGATGCTCATTATGTGTGCCTTCCGTTTTAGCTCGTTTCTTGCTCTTTCTGTTTCATTTTGCTCTTTCCGTTTCAAGAGCTGATTTTATTTTAATAATAAAAAGCAAACACGCTATCATTACATTTAGAAACTATATATAAAAGCAGCAATTACCATAAAAATATTATATAGACATTACAAACGAAGTGTCAACAAATATAATAATAAAGAGTTGGGGAGTTATACAATAGCTTTAAGCTTAGTTAATTCTTCGCTAGATTTACAGAAGATATTGTTTGAATGAATGTGAGCAAAAGCAGCAATGTTGCAGCAAGCACGGATGCAATTTTCCAAGGAGTGCTCCAATATTCACGCACAAAAATTGCCCTATACTTATGATAAGGGTTATCACAAAACTTGTCCATTTCTTCGCATAGAGAGATATAATCAGTGTTGGTGTTTGTTACAAGAACATTTTTGCAAAGTTTGTTCACCATGCAAGCAACTCCATTACTGTCAGCCATCAAGTTCTCCAAAATTTTCTTTCTGACAAGAATTTCGACATCTTTCCCGGTGTCAATAAGATTATCCAACAGGCATATGTAATCAGTCACATAGCCTGAAAAAGGATAGTGACACTGCTCAAATGCAACCACATTTCTAAGCATAGTCTCAGTCCAATCACTTACCACAATACTCGGTATCTTTAACATTGTTTTATCTGAACACTGCAACTTAGTTACACTACTTTCCTTATCAACTTCAAACTTCATCCCTGCCTCGTGTAGTAGACTTACACTGTGTGAACGCTTCATTATTGCGTCAGCTCCTCTTGGTGACGGATCACTTGGTAAGTAAAAGGTCCTCAGCATATCACAGAGGTGTTGCACTTGATGAAGACTATCATAATTGAAGTTACGCATAAACTTGGGGTGAGTTTCCTTGTTGGGATATAACTCTCGCAGGAAAACGTTCACAAAAACATCAAAGGTAAGCTTAACAAATGAAAGTTCACCATTGAAGCCGGTTGGAAAAGCTAGGTCAAATAGGTTAGTAAGAACAAAGAATGGAAGTTGATTTTCAAGCAAAATCAAGTCAAGTTTAATATCAGCTGTTGGCCATAGTTTCTTAACCAAAGGGTCTTCCAGGCCTAGACATGCAAGAAAGAACTCGATGATGAAGCAAGCATCGGTTAGAATCATGCTTACAAATTCATCGCTCTTCATCTTTATGGTCTCCGAATAACCATGACGAATCTTATCTTCCATATCTTCCAGGGCCTTCAAATAATCATCTAATGATTTCTGTGGGGTCCTCTTGAGGAACCTGTTAACATACCATACTTTTAATTCCTGCATTGATTCCAATCTTTTGTCTTGATGGTGATATGGGCCAATGGAAACCACGCTAGGAGTGTAGGCTTCTTCATTTACTTTTCTAAGTTTTGGTGGCACTCTGTAGATGCAACAACTTGATGTTAAAGGAAGATTTGCAGAGTCTGCAATTTTCAACTGGGCTTTCAAATCATTTAACTTTGATGAAGACCAAGCACAGTTATCATTAAACTGTGAAGCCCAAGTACCATCATCTAACTCTGGACCAATTTTATTTGGATCGATCCAATTCAAATAAGATTTTGCCACCATCTCCATTTTGTAATCTTTTGATGGACCTGTGCAACACATTCAATGTACCAATTTAAAAATATTTAGAATGATAAGAATCTAACCCTGTTCATTTTTCTATTATTCCGTACAATATAATTAATCAATTTACTAATAGATAAGATGTTTTACACCTGTTCTTTTTTATTTTTTTTTTAGATCGATTCTGTCTTAGATAGGAACCAGAGATGTAAAAATTACAACTTTTTAGCATTATGTTTCAGAAAAATGATGCCTTATAACTCCAAACGGAACATACTATAAAGTTAAGTTGCAGAACATTTTCAATTCATGAATAGAGAAATCTTACCATTCGTGACGCCTTCAAGATGATATTGACACATCTTTGGATGAATCAAAACCCCAAATATTGGACTTGCAAACCACAGATCAAAATATAAATTTTCCAAGTCTTTCTTGTCCCCCTCTAGCTAGCTTCTCTCTAGTTTCTGTTCATATTGATAAGCCTGAGCTTCCCCAAACATGTATCAGCAATTTCATAATTACATATGCAGGACGCAATGGAAGGCTGGTTTTTGATTTGAAAAATCTAAATTAATAAAGTATTTACCTGACATATACTTTCTCTCGGTCTGACATTTTTAGCCTAATCTGATCCTATAAAGTAACTAATTATTTTTAAATTAATATTATTTTTTCATATTTATCTTTATTTAATAAAATATTTTACTTTAAAATAAATATAAAATAATCAATTTATTATAAATACTTTTGAATAAAGTAAATTAATTATATTTTAAAATATTAAAACTATCTTATATTCTTTTTAACACCTGAGCTTAAAAAAATATTTTAAATATTTTAATAAAATGAGTACATTACAAAAGTATTATTTTAAGCAATTATTGAAAAGGTTTTAAGCGGTCAACGAAAGACATGAAGGAGGCAGAAGAACTTTGGTTCCAAATTCACCTACGAATATGTTTTGTTTCCTACCCAACCTTTCTCATTTTCTTTTTATATTTGATTGTAGTTTTAAATTTTTAGACTATTATTTATTCAATAATTTTTAAAAATAAAATTAAAATTAAATTAATTCATTTTCAATTATATTTTTATTTTTTTAACAATATATAAGAGAAAATAAGTAAATAATACGTTAAAATATTAAATTTTATTATATAAAATATTCCAATACATGTAATAAGTTATTATTGTTCATATAATATTAATAATTTTTTTCCTCTCCATGTTTTTTCCTTCTTAAGTAAGGAGAGAAAATTATTTATTTATTTTCCCTTTACTTCCCTCATCTCTCTTTTCTCTTCCCACATTTTCTAACCCCTGTTTTCTCTTACCTTACTGTTCTGTCCTGGAACTCGATCTCCATTGGTCAGGTCAGACTTCACTGCTTCACCAGTGCTAACTTTTGCTTCTGCAACTCCAGATCTTTGCCATTAGAGTAACTTATAATTCGAATACAAGGTCAGGGAAATCTGTACCAAAAAAAAAAAGGTAATAAATCAGGTTATAGCAGACTACAAAAGCTTTTTGTCCTCTTTAAATGGAATATCAAAAATCTTAATTGTACATAACAATTTCGCTTGCTGAGAAAATCAAGAAAATGGCTCTCAAAAACTCTTAAAAAATCTTTCCGTCTCTCTCCCCCTCCCCCCTCCCCCCCTCTCCTGGCGACCTATAGAAAATGACACGATGCAGATCAAGAAATAGAGCAATACAGGATGAAGGGCACTAATACTTACGGGATGTTCCCTTCAGGAATAGCAGACTGATCTTTGGAGTTTGAAAACCTAAGATTCTTTCTGCAAGTTTCGTTGTCTTTTTCTTCGCTGATTCCTCCAGAAATTAAAGATCTGTCCAGGTCGTGCTCTTCGCGATGATCAAACAAGGTCTTGTTCAAACCAAGAATCCCTCTAAAATTCGAACAGGAAAACCAAGAAATTTGAAAATCCAAGCAAGAATTAACTGCGAAAACCGAAAGTCCTCTTCTTACCAAAATAAATGAAGAAAATGGGTGCGGATGGAAGTTCAGACCTTACCAAAAACTCCTCTGCGAACCCCTTCCTTTCTCTTTGACTTTCGAAGCCACGATGATTTTGTTTATTCTGTCAGATTTTGTGAGTTGTACCATCAGAGTTTTGAATCTGTCTAATGCGCAGATTGTCAAAGATTTTTGGAAAAATCACAATCAAGGATCATGAGAAATAAGTAATTCTACTACAGGACCAAATGATTCCAGTGTTAATGTGTAAGATCAAAGCATCTAATATAATTAAAATCAAGAGAATTACATTCAACAATCATTTAAGTAAATTATTTACAGATAATTATTAATAACAAGTCCTATTTTAAAAAAAATTATATTTTTATTTTAATAACAATCTATTTTTTATTAATTTTTATATATAAATAATTTACTTAAGTGATCTTTGGATTTGATTCTCCCATTAAAATTTATTGTAAAAAGACAAAACTATCCCTTACATATATGTATTTGTTGTGATGGGAGAATTGATTATTATTAAAATAAAAATGAGCCTTATTTTTTTTTGAATGGAGATTTGTTCACCAAATTACAATAACTTTTCTCAACCAAGTTAATAATTTGAAGTTATTAATGAAATAATTAATTGTTATCAAAATAAAAATTAAACTTATTTTTTTAATAAAAATTTGTTCACCAAATCACAATACTTGTTCCGCTTCACCACCATATTAATTTTTTGAAGTTATTAATAAGAGAATTGATTGTTGTTACAACGAGACTTGTTTTTTTTTTTCCAAATAGAGACTTATTCGCTAAATTACTAACACATATTCTTCTCCACCACTAATTTAATTTTTTACAGTTATTGATAAAAGAATATATTATTGTTAAAATAAAAATAAGACTTTTTTTTAAATGGAGAGTGATTGTTAAAAGAGTATATATATACATACGATGGATAGTTTTATCTTTACACGATAAATTTTAATTCAATTTAGGTCTTTTAGTTCTATAGAATAATATTAAAATTAATTTATTTTTTAGCGCAATTAAATTGTCTTAAATGGTTATTGATTATGGTTTGTTCACTATTTTTTGTTAGTTTCTTAGTTGAAAGAATCTCTCTTCATTCAAAACATTTCTTACAAGTCAAAATGCACCGAGATGGGTGATGACTATTAGCAAAACTATTAAAATAATGAGTTACTAAGCGGCTATGGCACAGGTATTGTCTGGCATTTAACGTCATTCTAAATTTGATTTTTAAAAATATGTATGAAAAAATATTGTTTGAGAGATGATAACTTTAAATAATACTTAGATTTTTTAAATATTTTTTTAACAAATCATGTCTAGCTAGCAAACTAGTCCATTCTCAAGACGCTCGGGGGCCCTTCTTTGCCTGTAAAAAGTTAGTATTTCAAAAATACACATTCTTTATGATTTGTACCCAAAGTTCATCTTGATTGTGCATGACACGCGAAGCGTTTTTTGCCAGCAAAGCCAAATTAAAATCTTTAAACTCTTTAAAACCCATTCCACTAACCTTTTTGGGTTTTTCAATATCCTTCCATTTCTTTCAATGAATTTTATTTTTCCCTTCCTTTATACCCCACCAAAAATTAGCAACAAAGTTGTCTAACTCAGCACAAGTTTTGTTAAGGAATTTAAAAACAAACATAGGATAAATGAGAATAAAATTTGCAATAGCTTTTATAAGTACCTCTCGACTAGCTTCAAATAACATATTATGCTTCCAACCTTGTATTCTTTTACCCACTCGTTCCCAAACATTTGCCTAGGCAGTAGAGTTAGATCTTCCCCAAATAATTGGCAAACCAAGATATTTCCCAAGGTTATTAGAATCAACTACACCCAAAATAGAGCAAATATCTTCCCTCACTTCATCAGGAGTATTAGATGAAAAGAAAACACAAGATTTTGATGTATTGATCTGTTGTCCTAAAGTTGAGCAAAGCATATTCATAATAACCTTAAAGGTTTCACATTTAGAAACAGAGCACTTAAGAAAAAACAAAGCATCATCAGCAAAAAAAGATGAGTAAGTTTTGGACAAGTATTTGCTAATTTAACACCCTTAATCTCATGAATAGTTTGCATAAACAGATATCATTTCTGCAAGAACATCCATTACAAAAAAAATAGAGATAGGAAGATACAAGATCCCCTTGCCTGTGGCCTTTCTCAAGGGTAACTTCAGCAACAACTTTTCTTGAAAGAGTGAGATTAAAATTCACAGTTGTCACGCATTTCATCATCCATTTGATCTAGCAAGAGGCAAAGCCCAAGCGAGTAAGCACAGCTTTAAGGAAATCCTACTCTAATCGATCATGAGCCTTGTTAAGATCAACTTTTAAAGCCATATCAAAACTACCTGCATCTTTCTTGTGCTGGAAATAATGAAAAACTTCATGAGCTAGCAATACATTGTCTTGAATTGAGTGATTGGGCATAAAAGCTCACTAATTAATTGTTACTAGCTTTCCCAAAATACATTTAAGCCAATTAGTGAATCCACCTTGTAAACAAAATTGCATTAGCTTATTGGTTGAAATTTACCAACACTCTCTAGTGAATCCACCTTTAGGATATGAACAATATTAGTGCTATTTATACCAGACAAATCATCATCTCTTTCAAAGAAACCTTTCACTATTCTTACAATATGCTTGTTAACCTCTAGAAGTTCATGTTATTTCATCACATTTTCCTTAGATTCTAATCCGTTTTAGTTCAATTGTATATGTTTTTATTGCCCAAATTAGGAAAATGTGCATTTTGTTTTGGGCTTGTGTTCTTGGCTTTAATTTGATATTTTTAGCCTAATTTCATGTTATTTTGATTAGAAGCGTTTCTGGAGCTTTGTGGTTATTTTTGGAAGGCGTTTGGATGAAGAAATCAAGAGCTAATTGAATGATTTTCGTTAGCTGTAAAAACAGTGCAAAACTGTCAAAGTCATCCCAAAGTCGTGACTTTCGTTCGCGACTTTCACCGCTGTCAGAAAAATGCTGCGTTTCATTTATCAGAAATTAGTTGGCTAGGATACATATAAGCTGAGAGCTCGACCCAGAACACATTCTTCAGACTTTTTGACACTTTTGGAGCTTGATTGTGCTAGGGTTTGGGCATTGGAAGAGTTGGGATCAAGAGATTGAAGCTTTGAAGACATTTAGAACTCATTTTCTTTGGTTTTTCTATTCCTCTTCCCTTTCCTCTCTTGTAATCTGAAATGGGTCTACTTATTTTGTATATTTATAGCTTGTGGATGATTATGAGTAGCAAAACCCTTTGTTCTAGGATTCTTTAGAACCCTTGTATGGATTAACACCATATTTCTCCTCTTTTTTTGTGATTAATGATATATATGTGTTTATTTTACTCTTTCCTTAATGCTTCTACTTGATTGGCCACCATTTAGATGTTGGGTTCACTTAATTGATGCTTGAGAGGGCTAGGTTGAGTGTAGAACTTGGGTAAAATTGTGTAAGAACTTGATATTTGCATGTTGAATGGATGGTTTTGCTAGTAAGATAGAGATATACTTGCTAGCCTTGCATAGCCACATTAGGGTTGGTGTTTAAAATTGAGTTTTATTAATTGTAACAAGAGATTGGGCAATTAATTTAACTAAACACTTGTTCATGACTTGAGAGAGCTTGTCCAAGTATTTTTAGAACCCTAGGTTAGCACTTATTTTCATTAAAAGCATTTATGAGAGGAGGTAATTTTGGTATTATGAAATGCAAGGGGGATAATTAATCCTAGGTCTCAATTTGTGTTAGAAGTTTGTGAATCACTCACTTTCTTAATTTTCTCGTGTTAGTTTCATTTGCAAAACCATTTCACTTAACTTCGTGTAGCTCAACTTGATCAAATTTACTTAGTCTTTTTCTTGATCATTGTTTTTGAATAAATCCTCGAGGGAATGATACTTTACTTTCATTATATTACTTACTACGATCCGTACACTTGCGGTGAGCAACAATGCTCGCCTATAGTAGGCCAAGCTTTTTGATAGAATAAACTAGAGAAACCATCTAGGCCTAGAGATTTAGTGGCCCCAGTTCAAACATAGCCACCTTCTTCACGTGACACCGTTCTATAGAGCAAATTATCTACCTCAAAGACCTTAGTATTAATATAGTCAAGTACATCAGAGACCCTATTGAGTCTAGAGGCTCTAAAAAGATCCTTGTAAAAATAAAAAAAGAATCAGCAATAAGAATTTGATCATCTACCTAGGCCCCACTTCCATCCTTAATCTTTAAAATTTTGTTATAGTTCCTCCTTTAAGTGGTGACAGTATGCAAAAATTATGTGTTTCTATCCCCATTCAGAAGCCATTGTATTATAGATAGCTGCCACCAATAAGCTTCTTCCTGCTCAAAAACCATAGCGAGTTCATCCTCCAACTTCTTTTTTAGATTTGCCTTCATATTAGAATAATCACCATTAGGACACTCAGCAATTTGGGACTTTATCTTTCTAATAAGTTTCTCATTATTGGGGAAGACTTTTCTACTCTAGCTAATTAGATCCTCTTTACACCAATTTAACCTCTCTACCACACATTCCACTTCTCTAGCCTTTATGATTGCAGGTAAGCTCCAGCTAGAATCTATAACATTCAAAAAATTAGGATGGTTGCACCAGTTCACCTCTACCCTAAAAATATTTGGAGTAATTGTATCAGTAAAGCACCAATCAAGTCTTAGCATAGAATGGTTCGAGCCCACAGATTCCTCATGAAAAATAATAGCTTTGGGGAATTTGTTATAGAAAGATGCACTGCCTATAGCTCTATTAATGCGTTCTTTAATATAAGCCTCATCTAATCTATTATTTGCCCAAGTAAAGGGAGATCCCTTAAACTTCAAATCAATTATTTCACATTCAGAGATGAAGAGTTGGAAATTCATAATTTTTCAAATAGAATGAGAATTCCCACCTTATTTTCTAGCTTGTGAAACAAGATAATTAAAATCACCAATATACAACCAATCAGTAGTATTATGAGGTTTTAATCTTGCTATCTCAGCCAAAATACGTCTCCTCAACCCCTCATCAGTAAGGCTATACACAAAGGTAATTAAATTAG